CCAGCTGGGACCCTGCGCTTCTGCCACCCTGCTCTGGGCCCCGCTGGCACTGACCCCGGGGCACCAGTGCGGGCCCCGTGCTCCCACTGGCTCTCTGCCTGCTCACACCCAATGCCCCCCCAGCCCCGCAGTACAGGCGGGGGGCAGCACACAGCCCCGACCCCCTCCTTGCCAGCAGGGAAGAAGCGGGTGCTGAGCACAGGGAAAAGCGGCCCCTTGCCCACCCCATGGCTGGTGTTCCCTGCTGCAGGCACTCGCAGCCCATGTAGGGCTGTCTGGAGCAGGCACAGGCGGGCTCCGAGCGGCTCCAGTGTGGGGCACCAGCCATACGGCAAGCAAGGGGCCACTCTTCCCTGTGTTCAGCACTAGCTTGTAACCCAGCCCCGCTACCAGCCTGGCAGTGAGGCAGGGTTACAAGGTGGTGCTGACCGCGGGGGGAGTGAAGGGAAAGTGGCCTCTTGCCCACTCCATGCCCGGCGCCGCGCGCAGCAGCCGCTCACAGGCCACCTGGAGCTGCCTATGCCTACTCTGGACAGCCCCGCATGGGCTGCAAGCTCCTGCAGCAGGGAGTGTGGGCCATGGAGCGGGTGAGGGGCCGCTTTTCTCCACACAGGGAAGGAGCCCAGGGAACAGCTGAGCGCAAGGGGGAAAGCTGCCCCTCCCCCACCCCATGGCTGGGGCTCCCTGCTGCAGCCACTTGCAGCCTGCATGGGGCTGTCTGGAGCAGGCACAGGCAGCCCCACGCAGGCTGCAAGCAGCTGCAGCATGGGGCACTGGCCACGGGGTGGGGAAGGGGCCGATTCCACCCCCCTGTGCGCTCCTTCCCTGCCCAGGATCCCCCCACTCTTCTCCCCCCCCGACGCCTTACCTGCAGTTCCAGCGCGGGGCAGCCACATGCTCCCAAGCAAGAAGCCAGGCTTCCGGCTGGAGGGGCAGGGCCAGGCGGCCCGCTGTTGTTGGAGCCCACCGGGCTTCCCCTGGGTCCTACTGCCCTTGGTTCCTGTCATTTTTGACAGGAACCAAGGGCAGAGAAATATTAATTTTCCACATTTTTTTAGGGGCCCTGCGGGCCAGATAGAATGACCTCACAGGCTGGATTCGGCCTGCGGGCCGGATTTTGCCCACTCCTGATGTAAGGCCTGCATAATTCCTGCCTAAAACAGCCTTTGGTTCTATCTCAGTCAGGCAGTTGTTCTGCCTGTAATTTTCCTCAAAACTTGTTCACGCTTAGGGAAGTCAGGGTCTGTACTTAAGGCCTTTGAGACATCTGTATAAACTAATTCCCTTAGCCTTTTCCTTCTGTTGTTTGAGCAATAAGGTAGAGGTACACTGATACATCGGTTGCATATCGGATCAGCACTGGTAAAAGGAAAATTAACATTATTGGCAATTGGCTTTTTTGGGCACTACAACCAATAACATCACCAATAAATACCATGTGTCTTCAACAGCTGCAGCATGCATGCAGCCAGGAGTGCAGCCTGGCAGCATGGAGAGCAGTGTCTGCCTGGTAAGTTGGTGGGGAGAGAGGGGCGTTGGGGGGGCAGATTGAAGCCCCCACGATGAGGGAGGGAGTGGGGCAGGGCAGGTGCTGCCCAGCCTGGGCAGCTTGTCCAGGGCATGGGGTGGGGGTGGCTTCCCACTGCTGTGTGAACCCCCAGGAAGGCATGGGGGGCATGTGCCCCCCTGGATTTGTGTGTGGAGCGAGGGCAGGCTGCCCGCTGTGGGCTCAGTGCCTTGGGCTGTGCCAACCTCTTCCAGGCAGGGGACTGAGCCGGGGGCTATGCTCGGGGCAGGCAGGGGAAAGGTGGGTGGTGGCAGGGCTGGGATGGGGAGGCTATGGGGAAATTTGGTGTGGTTGTAGCCCACCCCATACTCCCCCTCTCAGCGCTGCCCCCCACGCTCTCAGAGCCCAGCCCCAGCCCATGCTGGGGAGAGGCCGGCATAGCCCCTGGCCTTGAGCCCTCAGTGGGCAGCCTGCCCTCGCCCCGTGCACAAATCTGGGGGGGCGGGACATGCTCCCCATGCCTCCCCTGAGGGTGTGGGGAGCCATGCCTCACTTCCCCCCATGGCTGTGGGGTTGCATTCACTGCCCTGGCTGGGCAACCCCTGCTGCGCTCCCTCTCTCACTGTGTGGGCTTCGATCTGCAGCCCCCATGCCCCTTTCCTCCCTCATGCCCCCCTCCGCACCTCCCTTACTCATCGGCCAGATACTGCTCCCCACGCTGCCCAGCTGCATTCCTTTAAATTGGCTATCGGATCGGTATTGGCCAATATGGCTGGTTAATAATCAGCCATTGGTATCAGCCAGGAAAATCTTTATCACTGCACCCCTACGATAAGGTCAAGAGTCAGTGCATCTCAGCCAAAATAGATTATCATGTATATGTAGCAGTTGTTATGACCTGGCAGCTGTTTTATGGGAATGAGTTCGAATTCTGTCCCTAGTGAGAAGAAAGCTCATTTATTGGAATTGACTGAGAAAATGTGGGTTTTTCTTTTATTCCTTTAGCTTTCAGCTCTTGTCACCTGGGGACTTTTGCAATTAGGGAGCCAGAAGTTCTAGCCTCCCTGGGAATGTCAATAAAATGTTCCTGATTGAATTTTCTCTACAAAGTAAGAGAGGTAGCATGGAAAGAAGAGGAGGCAGAGAAGTCTGTCTTCCTACGTTCAGCAGTGTTCCTTTCCCCTCACAGCTTTTTCTGGTGGGGAAGGAAAGCAGGGAATATAAAAGCAGCAGGGTGGTGTAAAAGTCTAGGTGTTTAGGGAAAGTGCAAGGTTTCTTTGTTGTGGCCAAAAGAAAAGGATGTTGAAGTTTTTGGGGGGGGGGGTTGTTTTAAGTTGAGAAAAGTGCAATTCCTTTTTCCAAGAATATCTCTATTAGGAGTTAAAACTACATCATTGTATAATGTGTAATCCAGTGATGTAATATTATTAACTAGATAAGCATTAGTTTTACTGGTTAAGTCACTGAATACTAACTGGCAATTTCTATAGTTGACTGACTTCTGAGTCAAGACACCAGTATATATACAATATGCATGTACCATATTTACTTGGCTAGAGGGGAAAGGAGCTCCTGCATGAAAGAGCTGCCCTGGGGTGTTTGGTTGTCTGATCCGCTGCCTGCAGGACTCAGAAGGTTCCTGGAGCTCATAAGGTACCCTGGGCTGAATAGCACGCTAGACTAGGGGAGAAGTTTGCCTTCTTAAAGGGGCACAGTGTGACCCCATCATTATTGTTGTGTTATATAGCCCAGGGTCTGATTATAAGGGGAGGTGGGGGCCTCATTAGTGCCCAGAGGGGGGCACACGATTGTAAGGAGCTCCAGCACTAGAGGGGTGCAGCTACAGGAGCCGGATAGCCCAGTGCCAGAGGGGTACGGCAGGAAAGGGCCAGGGGCCTGGTGACAAGAGGAGACTGATTAGAGCTAGTGCCTTGAAGCCAGGCTTGACACACTAAGTCTAGGCTAGAAGGCTTAGCTATATTAAAAGGGGCAGAGGGTCAGTAAGCTGAGAGGGAACAATATTCATGTAAAACCCACGAGGCCCGGGGCATGGTAAAGGGGAGGTTTTGGAGCCACGCAGTTAGCACATAAGGCATAAGGTGTCGCGTGAGGCACTGACTTGGAGTGAGACATGGTAAGGGGTCCAAGGGTCTAGTAGGGTTCGACAAGACCATGGCCACAGAAACTCATCAGTAGCCTCCCTACTCATTATTTTTACCAACAAGATGTGGCAGGCAAGACTGGAAGGTGCCATCAGGGTGGAGCTGGCACAGTCACGGAGCCCTAGGGGCATCACAGCCATCCCTGGGGACTGCGTGCCATGACAATTAGATTCTATATATGGAAATTGTATGAATTTGTTATAAATTTCCAGGTATGGAATCTGATTATTGGAGGTTTGCCTTGAATTTGTCCCCTCCCACTGCCATGGCAGGGAAAATAAATCAGGGGGTCAGGTAGCCTTTTGCTCTCTGTCTCCCCCCAACTTTTTCCCCTGGGAGCCTCTTCCCCCTCTCCTTATTGTCAGACCCCACTCTCCCTGCACACATGGAAGTGAGAAGCACATTTGAAAACAATAACTGTGAAACCAAACATAGGTGTAGCAATTTGCATATAACCTATGCACTTAGTTCATCCAGAACTGATGCATGTTACCTTTGTTGGAAACTGCTGCAAGTTTTAGCACAGGTACGACATAAACACACTTTTGAGCAGCACTTTGGCACCTACTAACGTGTAGTACAAACTATGCCTGATATCAGTCCAAAGCCAAAGGCTCGTGATTTACCACATCATTCATTGGGCTGGGCCCCAGCAGAGTCAACAGCATATCAAGCCACAGTAACCCTGTAAGTCAGCACTGCTCAGTGTATACAGATTCCCACCCCACGAAGGATCCATGTGCTAATTATCCCCTACTCATGACTGGAACTGTGTGTTCTTGTCATGAGTTATATCCAGATGAGGAACAGGGCAGCCTGGTTCAGCTTCACCTCATTGTGGAGGGCAGGGCCACACTAAACCTATGTGCCAGGCTGAGAGAAAGGCTGACAGAGGGATTCTGGGTGAAAGTTATGGCTCACCAAGACTAGAAAAAGTCAGCACTATGGAGGACTGCACTCATTGGGCACTACCATATGTTTTACTCGGAGGAGATAACCTATTCTTGTGGTAGGTTCCCATCAGCATGTTTGTCCAATGTGGGCCACGTGTTTTATAGTCACATTCACTGTTGGTTGCATTTAATCAACTTCATAGTTGGTTTCCTTTGCTGAGCACACTCTGCTTTTGACAGCAGTTTAATGATGGACAATGTATTTAGTGAGAGTTTGTTTTATACAATTATAAGACAAGGGGCTTTTTTTCCTCATGCCATTCAGGTGGAAAAAAAAGCCTTGTCTTGTATTCTAGTAAATATGGTATTAATTGAAGTATCTGTGTGCTGATCATTTATATTACACTCTTCTTCTCTTTTCTTTTCTTTTTTATTAAGCATTGCAGGCTGTATGTACCGAGTAGTTCAGACGACTGGGCCAGATGGAATAAACCTTCTGAAGTTGCTTCCAATTTCTAAATCCTCTGGGAATTTTGTGCCAATTCTTCCGTCTACAGTCAGACCTGATCCTGCTAGAGCGAATATACCACAGCCACTTCATGTTACTTTTAAGAGACCGGTTGCTAATACTCCCACACCCTCAACTGTCAAGATACCTGTTTTTCAGACAACTAATCCTGGAAAGATTATTCTTACAAGGGCATTGGATAAACAGGAAAATCTTAAAGTGACTTCTGAGAGAGAGAGCTTAACTACAAAAACTGTTCCTATCATTCAAAGTAATCCTGTTTCGGTTGATAGACTATCTTTGCAAAATATAGCTGTATCAGCTTCACCTAACCAGAATAATTCAGTTTCGGTGGATAGATCATCTTCGCAAAGTATAGCTGTATCAGCTTCACCTAACCAGAGTACTTCTGTTTCGGTGGATAGATTATCTTTGCAAAATACTGCTGTGTCAGCTTCATCTAACCAGAATAATTCTATTTCAGTTGATAAACTATCTTTGCAAAATACTGCAGTGCCGGCTTCATCTAATCAGAATAATTCTGTTCCAACTGATAGACTGTCTTTGCAAAATATAACCATTCCAGCTTCATCTAACCAGAGTAATTCTGTTCCAACTGATGGACTATCTTCGCAAAATATGACCATCCCCGCTTCATCTAACCAGAGTAATTCTGTTCCAACTGATAGACTATCTTTGCAAAATATTACCATCCCAGCTTCGTCTAACCAGAGTAATTCTGTTCCAACTGATAGACTATCTTTGCAAAATATTACCATCCCAGCTTCATCTAACCAGAGTAATTCTGTTCCAACTGATAGACTATCTTTGCAAAATGTTACCATCCCAGCTTCGTCTAACCAGAGTAATTCTGTCCCGGTTGATAGAGTACCTTTGCAAAATGTTGCTGCACCAGCTTCATCTAACCAAAGTAAAACAGCATATATGTTTGTAAATTCAAGAAATCTTCCAGTGACAGTGAAGTCTCCAGTACTGCCCTCTGGACATCACCTACAGATACCAGCTGATGCAGAAGTTAAATCTGTTCCGGCTTCTTCTTTGCCGCCTGCAATACAGCAGAAAATACTGGCAGCTACAGGTACAAATGCCTCTGGAGCTACTGAAGCCACAAAAACACCAACTGTTATTTATGTATCACCAGTAAATACAGTAAAAACTGTAGTGCCCAAGCGTTTGCCTGCCATTTGCCCAAAACCTGTCACAGAAGTATCAAAACCATTAATCCTCACAACTGCACAAACAACAGTAAACAGTTCTGTTCCAGGAGTGGTAACTTCGAATGGCCAACCACCCCAGCAGCCTCCAATGAAATGGGTTGTGCAAGAAAATCCAAAGTCAGCAGCACCTTGTCTTGTTCCAGTAAAGTCATCAAATAACATGGCATCAAAGATCTTGAAAACCTTGGCAAATATGAAGAACGTAGGAATTAACTCTGCAAATATTTTACCAACATGTTCTAATAGCTCTAGCGGAAGCCAGACAAAAATTACTCCTATTAAAGATAATGCTCTGGTGATGTACAATGGCAAAGTCTATTTGCTGACCAAAAGAGGGTCTGATGTTCTGTCAGCCCAAGTTGATACTGTCACCCCCTCTACTGATGCTCAGTTTAGAAAGGAGGCAACCCAGTTGATTGACTCAAACACAGTTGATAAAATAACCAATAAAGTGGTAAATTTAGTGTTGTCAAAAAGTAAAGGAATTGTAATTGCTCCAAAGGATCCCAAAACATGTATAAATACAGAATCTGTTCCACCATCTAACTTAAAAAACAGCCCCGAAACTGTAACCACTCTTCTTGCAACACCAAATGTTAATCAGCCTAGTGCCTCTATAAACCAGACTGAGGCTTTGCCCACAACAGGAAGCATTTCAAGTGACCTAAATCCTCTTCTAAAAGTGGTGACAGATGAAAATACGAGCAGTGGCAGCAAAGAGAAGGATAGTTCTCCTGCGGCAACTACTGCTGTAGCTCAGCCTAAGCAGCATTGTGATTCCAGCAAAGAACAGAAGGTAATTCTCTACCATAAAATTTGCCCATGTCTGTTTATGCCAAATTACTTCTAACATCCTGATTCTGTTTGAATGAAACCAGCCTTGTGCAATTTAAATTTTCCTGTAAACAGATGTACTGCTTCCCACAACTTTAAGTCTAAGACTGTGGTTCTTACCAAAATTTTACCAGAACTTAAAAAGACCGCACTATGCAAATGAGCAAAGCAGGAAAGAAGAGGAAGAGTCTTGAGTTTTTAAAAATGAAAATGTAGGGGAGCCTTCTGTTTGTTAGAGCTTTGGTTAAACTGTGCTTGACACTGATGCCTTAGTTGAGGATGTCCATAATTTCTCCATGCAACACGAAGCTGTTGAAAGGGAAAGGTCAGATATGGGGAGAAAAGTAAAGAGGTATTAAGTAAGGACAGGCTACAGTGTTTCTCAGCCCATGGGTTGTGATCCAAAAGTAGGTCGCAAGAATATATGAAAGGGTTGTGAACAAACTTTAAAAATGGATTCTCCTCTAAAGGAGAAAAACATGGGAAGCCGTGGTTTTTCTCTTGCAGACTGGCAGAGTTTCTGCCTGCGAGGGGCTGCTTGGGGTCCCACCTTCCCCACACGTGGTGGGGACTGGGGCCTGGGGGTGAAGGGTACAGGGTTGGGACTGACCACTGATAATTACAAATGGGTCCTGGTACAAAAAGGTTGAGAACCACTGGGCAAAAAAGGTTGAGAACCAAAGTTTGGAATAAAGACAAGATGCATAACAGCAATTATCATGTCATTCTGAGACAGGCTAAGTACTGAACTAGGGTCAAGTTTGTTTTATGAGTGTGAGTCACTTATGACATCACAGTCCCACCAGCTGTCACATTTGAAAGAACAACAGCCAAGGACTTGGGCAGGGGGAAGAGACGTAGATGATGCTTATCATTCCTTTGCACATGAGAAATGGGCTCCTGGTTAGTACAGTACTTTCATTCTTAACTATTTTTGACTAGGTTTCCCAGCCTGTGGCTTGTGATTCTGAAGAATGTGTAGGGGTTACGGGGAAGCAAAGGAGACATGAGGTCATTCTCAGGTTTGGGGGAGCTGTAGTGTGTAGCTGTCCGCCCTTCCCTCCATTGCAGGGCCCTGGATTGACTGGTCAGTGGAGATAAGAGCCCTTCTCACCCACATGGAAACAGCTCCAGAACAGGAGGCAGGTGGAATCAGAGGCAAGAACCTAATACTGAGTGGAAAACAAGGAAGTGCTTGGTCCGTCATGCATGTAAGCCAGATGAAGGAGGAAGAGAGGGCACTTATTAGTCCCTTCCCAGTCCAGGGTTATAAAAGGTATATTCCCTTGGGAATATGAGTTGGGAGCAGGACAGTGGGGAATCTCGAAAAGTCAGTTTATTAACAGTAAACCTTCCCAACCTATGCTGCACATGTATTATTTTTTCTGAAACATAACCCATAAAACTACCAGAAAATTATTCCATGACTCAATTCTACAATTCTTTATACTTAAAAAGATGCTTTAAAAAGTTAATTACAAATCAGGCTGTCAATTATTTTGTGGAATGCAGGCCAAGAAAGGTTCAGCCACTGAATGAGTTGTCATTCCCCTTTATATTTTTTCCCCCCAGCCTTATCTTGGCTCTTGTCTCCCTTACTTGCAATCAAGCATATGTGCAAGTCAGGCATACTTAGCGTTTTGCACATAGTTTAAATCACAACAACAGGTTAGACTGTCATTTTAGTTCATTATGACTCCCTATCCTAGGTGGAACTGAAATGCTTATTTTATTTTTCCTGTCTGCTTTGTGTTGCCCTTATGTGAGTTTTTTTCAATTCCTATAGCAGCTGGGAAGACCAGATAATGCACCAGACGTGTGGCTCGCTTCTTTTCTTCCTTTCATTTCTGCTTCAGTATGATACATAAGTGTGCATGTTCTCATACGGGTTTTAGTATATTGATGCATGAGAGGCCCCAGTGGTTAGGAATTACTTTGGGTTGCAGCAGAATTCTGTAGTGAGGACTGTTAGTGGCAAACTAGAATTTTCAATCAGCATAAAAATGTGGGTATTTGAACACATTCTGATCCAGGAGATCAGTGCTGTAAATAATATTGCCTGTTATCTTTCTATTCCTCTGTTTCTTGGCATTTTCAAAGCTATGGGATAAGTGGCTACTTTGCAGCTCATTCTGCTTTTTTAGTATACTTGTGATTCTATACTGTTGTCCAGAAATTACAAGTACCTTAACTTATACATCTTTTTCAAATTCATACATTGAACATAGCAACAAAAATCAAATGGCAAAATATTTTTCCTCAAAATAAGTTGAATGTTTTTAGGTAAATGAACACTTTTAAAAACAGATTTCAGCATTTTAATGGTCAGAGGCTTATAACAATTAGTGATTGTGTCACTGTTTATGTATTTCAGATCCAGAGTGAGAAGGTTTGCTCATCAGAAAAGACTGTTCAAAACATTTGCAAAAGGGAACCATATCGGAAACAATACCTTGAGCTAAGAAAGAAATTCGGTCTCTCTAAAGAGGAGAGAGTATATCTAAAGAGAATCCCTTTTGGGATCTCTCCTACAGGATCTAAAGCAAGTGTATCCAGTAATAACTTAAAGAACAATGATTCTTGCAGTGCATCACCACTAGACATGGAGGTAACAACTAGGAAACAGGAAAATGCTGAAGAGAAAAAGGTATCTCAAAAGTTTAATGTATGCCCTACAATAGGTTTCATTTACATTTTTCAAAGTAAAAATTTTACTGGAGATTAAATCAAAGTGTTCTTAACACAAGTGAAAGTAATGCAGAGGAAAAGGCAGCTGAACTAGAACGCTGAGTGATTTAGGAGCTCTGTGGGATACAGGGATTCCTTGTCAGGCTCTGGAGCAGCATTTCCTAACCAGTGTGCTTCCGGCCCGTGGCACACTGGTGTGCCGCGGTATTTTGGGCTGGAGCCATGCCCCCTGCCTGGCTGAAGCCAAGTCCCCCACCTGCTGTTGCCGTGGACACAGACAGATGGGGAGCGTGGCTCTAGCCAGGCGGTGGGCATTGCTCCAGCCCAAAATGCCATCCGCGCCACCCTCCAGCCACACTCCGCATCTGGTGTGCCATGGTGTTTTTTTAATTTAGGCGTGCCATGGGGTGAAAAAGGATGGGAAACGCTGCTTTGGAGACAGAAACACTTAGCTGCTGCTTACATTTGTACATTTGTAAATACTACATCATTCTTCAGGTGTTATTTTGGAGTGCTTTGGCTCTTTTGGGAGTGCTTCAAAGGGCATGTATATCTGTACAGTTTCCTTTTGAAGCACTTCAAAGCCACTTTAAATGCTTCAAATGTTGATGTCTTTTCACACCCTCAGAGAAGTAGTTATCCAGTAGGGACAAGTATGCAACCTGTTGTTCTACCAAATTTCCACAGTTCAAGTTTGCTGTGTGCCTTGGCTAGATCACAGGTCTTCTAAAATAAGCTACTTTCTCCCCCTAGCTAACTATGGTCCATGGTCAGTTTGTTGCTCAATCTTTCATTCAATAAGTAAAGTAGTTGAGGCTTATTTTAGTCTGTCCTGGTAAAACAGATTTTCTTTCTCTATGATCATGCTAAATCCTTTTCAGTTTGAATAAAATGTGTGAAAACCAGTACTAGAAACACTATTCCAGTAATTGCCTTAATTGTATCATATTCAGAATTAATAATTATCTTCCTCGTCCTTCTTGATGGGCCTGTTTATTACCCTATTATATGCAGGGACTAGAAACTTTACTAATTTTACATGAAATTTTAAAATTCTTCTAAAAACTAGATGTGATTTGTTGCTTCATTTACTGATTTTGCATGACTGCTTAAACATGAAAAAGCAGTGAGGCTCATCTAGAAAGATTTGTTCATGATTAACCCATTCTGTATGTTGTCATTAGTTCAGTTACCTTGTACAGATTTATTTTTTAAATATTTCCATTATTTTATTAAGGATAGGAATTGGGCTTCTGTAGTGGTAGTTGATAGAATCATACTGCTTGGCTTTGTTAAAACTAGTGATAAATTACCATGTTTGTTTGCATACTACATGCCACCAAATAAGACACACATTTTGTTTTGGAAAGGCAGAATGAGAAAAGATTTTTCTGGATTCTCCCCGCCCTGGTTAAAGCAGAGCTGAGCCCTCCAGCTGCATGGAGCAGGCATGCAGTCCCATAATCAGCATCATTACCTGTCTCCCTGTTGCTAGGCCAGCAGTTGCTGCTAATTTAGCAGCGTGTATGAGTGGTCAACCTGTAGCTGTGTTGGTTGAGCAGCAGGAAGAGAAGTGACCTGGCTCCTCCCTGTGCTCTGTGCAGCCAGATGGTTTAACTGTGGCTGAGCCAGTGCCAAGCACAGCCCCCTGGTAGCAGACCAGTGTCCCTCTGCCCCCATCCTGGCACATTCATCGCTTAAGACGCACATCTCAGTTTGAGATGGCTAATTTGGGAAGATGTGTGTGGCATGTGAATAAATAAAGTATTTTTCCTCCATTTTTCTGGTACACATCCTTTTTGAAATTGCTTCCTGGAAATGGTTGCTAGTCATACAGTAACTTCTTGCCTGCTCTTGAATGCATTAAGATGCATTTTATCTAACTTCTCAGCTTTTATCCAAGACTGCTTTCTCCAATTCCATGTTGCTGCCTCAGATATTTCCATTAGACCCAATCAAAGGCTTTCTTCACATGCAATACTAAAAGTTCTTTAGACAGAATGAATAGTTCGCTGTGCTTTATTAGGGGTCTTATTCATTACAAACGTTGAATAATGTGAGCAGTTAATGACTGGGTGGGGGATGGGAGGTGGGTATAACATTTCATTTTAAATAACACTAGAGCAGCTATGCAGAGGAAGGTGGCACAGAATACACTTGTCTATAGAAACACTTTTAAAAATTATTTCAAATAAGGTAGCTACATACCTGTCCTAACTCTCATAGTAGGGCAGTACTTTAAGAGTTGAACACTTGTTTAGTAACAGTAATTGGGAGGAACTTCTCCAGGTTTAGAACTTGAAGGCATTAAATGATCTGCTCAGGTCCCTTCTGACCCTACTAACTATGAAACTACGAAATTGCTTCTCTGTCCAACAATTCAGTCCTGGCCTGGCTGATCATGGATCAGCTTCCCCACTGCCTTTTTTTAATTCCCCCTTTTGAGGAAGAGAAGAAAGACAGCATAAAAATTTCCCTTTTCTCTGGTGTGGAGTTGAATTTCAGAGGCGGATATCTATCAGTAACTTAAATTTGATATCATTTTGAATGGAAGTATTTTTTTTATTTATTATATAGATAATTGTAGACCTGGAACAAGATTGGACTAAAAAAAGAAAAGCAAAGCCCTTCCCAGTGCCAGACAATGCAAAGAAAAAGAAGACAGCCATCAATTCACTGACAAATCCAAGTCTTGAAGATGACAGCACCAGTTCCATTATACTCAGCAGAATTACTTCACAGCAGAAAAAATTCCCTACCTCTAGCAAATCCTCTTTAGGGAAAGACTCTGAGCAAGATCCACGTCCTCAAAATAACCAAGTTATGCGCTCATGCAGTCCAGTTTTAGTTTCTTCAGGTGATGAGGACAACGATGATGATTCAGTTATCAGAGGTTCTTTCAGAGAAGATGCTTTCCCTTTGCCTCCACCAGACTTAGATGAAACGATCAGAGATGAAAAAATAAAACGGCTCAAACAGCTGTTACGAGAGCGAGAGGCTGCTCTAGAAGAACTGCGTAAAAAGAGGCAGCAGACATGAAAAAACAGACTTGTCATCTGGTCCATATTTACATAAACTCAGTTAACTTCAGTGACTTCATGAAGAAGGGAATTTGTTTTACTGCCTCTGAAAGTTTAAAATGAACATAAAATAAATCTCCTTTCCTAATAGATAGATAGATTCTCTTACAGTTTAAGTGTATATAAATGAGAAATAAACCCCAAAGATCAGGAATAAAAGAATTGCGTTTTCCAAGATTCTGCTTTTGGAGAGTCTGTTTATAACAAAGAACCTATTGTGCAGATAATATGCTACTTTAACAGTGTATTCTCTAGCCTTTAGAGTGAAAGCTTTCTTTATTTAGTGTTAGAAAATAAATGTTTGGGATTTCAAAGCCTGTTTTTTTTAGAAATGGAATGTGAATTACAGACATTAACTGTAGATATCTTTTGTTATTGCATGTTCATGTGATGTCCACAGAAATGAACTTTAAATTGTCTTAATATTTTAGTGGTCAATATTTAAATAAAGATGATTTGAATGATCTGGGAATTGCATTTTACAGAAACCATCCTGAATGGGTGGAGACAGCCAGGGATCAGTTGCATACCAGCTTATGCTGTTGTCTGCTACTGGGGCTAATATATATAGAGAGACTTTTAGAGCTTTATTTTCACAAGCATTTATGAGGAATTTGTCACTTTTTGGTATTCCAGTGTGGGATTACACTGCAAAGTGTACTCTTCTATTTGAAAAAGCATAATTTAAACTACAGGCAAGTCTCCGGTTAAGTATGTGAATGTACATGTATGTGTATGTAGTATCAGGAGTTCCTACTATTTTGAAAACCATAAGCCAAATCCTGTTTCACTTTTAAGCACGTAAGTGTCCGTTCAATATGGTTTGGATTCTATTTCAACCTAAAGCAAAATAGGACCACTCAATTACACAGTGGGGGAGGGGTGCCTTTTAGCCCAGGCTGTCTTTTAGATGTCCTGCCAGCAGCATTTGGTCCCTTTTAGCTTGCGAACTGGCAATACACAATCCCCCTTCCACTGGTGGCACGCAGCCCACTTCCCTTGCAGGCTGCACAGGCACCACCTGGGCCCTCCCCCACCATATATCAGTGGGAGAGGCAGCCACCAGGACCTGCAGGCTCCTACTTTACAGCAGTAAGATTCAGAGGCATATATAAGCAGACGTGACTGACCTTCTGTAAGCTGCCATGGTTGACCTAACCACATCTGTACAGTGGCATTTCTGGACAGGATAACTAGATGGAACTGTGGGATCTTACGGTTTGCCAACACTGCATGACCAGCAGGGGCCCCAGAAGTTTGCATGGGGAAGCAAACCTTCATAGACCCATGCAACGAGTTTCCATCCAGCCAGAGTACACAACAGAGAGCACGTTCTAGTGCAGAAGATCCTTACTGCTAGCTAGAATCTAGCTCGCACAGAGGTCCAGAGCTAACTAGTTGGCTGGTGATAGCAGAGATTTTGTTGCTATTACGAAAGATGAATCAATCATCTATTAGCTTGTGAAAGTAGTCAAGTGTTAAGTGTTGGTAAGTCACAAAGAGGGCACTCACTGCAACGTCAGAGGTTTGTTGAGCTACTAATTTCTTAGACTAAAAATGAGAATTTTGCATCTATTTGAAATGTTGAGGAAAAATCAAGTAACTGATTTCAGTGTATGCAAAAGTATTAGAGTCCATATGCCAGAGATTCCCGTGGGACTGTTGTATGGCAACCCCCTGCCTGGAGCTAGATAGGACAGGTTTTAGCTGGAAAGGATGCACTCTGGGGAATTGTAGAGGAAATCTGGAGGTTGAGAGTGAGGCAGAAAGGCTGGGCATAGTTGTCTTAACAACACACTTCTTCAAGTCTGGTTTATTAAGAGAAACCAAAGCAGTGGATGGGCAGGGTGTATGTTTCTGTTCCAGCCCAATTACACTTTTCCCCCATCCAAATTAAAAGCATGCTATTGCCACATCTGCTTATAAATGGAATTTGAGCATCTTCCAGGGTGTTATGGTCAATGGGCATTTTACACATGCTCCAGGAGTGGGGGGAGGGAGTGGCACTTTAATCAGAGCGGCTCCAAGAGCCGCTGTAATTAAGACACTCGGAGCATCTCGTGTATCGGCATCCCCACGCTTCAAAATGGCAGCAGGGGCACTTCATCTAAAGCTTGTTGAATGGCTGGCTGGAGCACAACAATTACCACGTTTTAGCAGACTCGATTAATTGAGTCTGTTCCAACGCACTGTAATTGCAACATGCCAGAGCAGCTTCCCAGCTCATGTATAGGCACCCGATGGTATTAGGACTCTATGCCTCTTTCTAGCTAGGAAATTAAAAATAAGCATTTCTCTTACTGAAGCACATTGAAGAGAGCCATCATGAGGAGGCACAGGGTACCATCCAAGTGAAAAGTTGGGATTGTGTCCCATTTCAAGGCGTGGGATCTTCAATATTAAGTACAATGTTGGGGTCTACTAAGTTTTCAAACACAAGGTAAATTTTGCAGACACTAAAAAGGCTGGGTTTGTCATGAACATTAGACAGGGTCATAAAGCACAAGGGACAGCATTGGGCTAGGGAGCTTGGAAACTTCCCAAAGAGTCGGCCAGGGGATGCACTACCACTGCTTGGTGAGGGTGGTGATTGGCGACTTCCTGTTAAGAACATGGAGGTATCTATCTGCTGACCAAAGTTATCATCTGAGGATGCTTGGTGCTTGCTAGGAACCCAAATCCTGTTTATAATGGAAAGGTTGCTTAGAAATATCTGATCCCCTACTACTCAATGCCACTTATCTGTGTAAAAAAAACAATCAGGGTGCATGGTAGTGGTGATACCTTTTATTAAGCCCAAAAGATTTTTGCAACAAAATTTAGTTGCAAAAATCTTGTTGGTCTAATAAAAGATACCACCTCTACCATGAGCCCCGATGGCTTTTTCCTCTAAGCTAATACGACTACAACTTGGACACCTGACTTATCTGTGTGGACACTAATGATACTGCAAGGGTAATCCTGCGGAGATCAAAAGTGATTACAGGGCTCTGGGCATGGGGATGCAGGAGAGAAACAAGCTTCTGGCAAACATGCAGAAAGAACTGGAAGTCCTTGTAGTGTCACAGGACTATGATGTGATTGGAATAACAGATTTGGTGCAAAAGTTCTCAATACTGGAGCACTGTCATTGATGGGTACAAACTGCTCAGAAAGTACAGGCAGAAGAGAAGAGGAAAAGGGAGTTGCACTTTATGTAAATAAAGAGCAATATGATTGCTCAGCTCCAGTATGAAATTGGAGATAGGCCTGTTGAAAGTCTTTGGCTTAAGGTCAGAGGGGAGAGCACCAAGGGCTGATGTCGTGGTGGGGGTCTTCTGCAGACCATCAGGCCAGGAAGACGTGACTTTCTTCAAAAAGCTAGCAGAAGTTTCTCAATCACTCTGACATCTGCTGGGAGGCCAATACAGCAGTGCACAGGCAATCTAGGGAGTTTTTGGAGAGTGCTGGGGACACATCCTGGTGCAAGTGTTGGAGAGGCCAACTAGGGGTTGTGCTCCTGACCTGCTACTCCCAAACAGGGAAGTATTGGTGGAGAATGTAGTAGTGGATGGCAACTTGGGCAGCAGAGACCACAAGATGATTGGGCTTGGTATCCTGAGGAAAGGAAGGAGAGCAGCAGAGTAAGGACCATGGACTTCAGAAAAGCAGACTTTGATTCGCTCAGGGAACTCATGGGCAGGATCCCCTGGGAAGCCAGTCTGAGGGGAAGGAGTCCAGGAGAGGTGTCTGTACTTTAAAGAAGCCTTATTGAGAGTGCAGGAATAAACCATGGGCGACTGGGGCCTCCTGAGTCTGGGGGACACCTGCAGGCGCTGCCACCAGTGTTGGCAGCAGGGCCGGAGCTGGTGAGCTGCAGGCACCACTGGCGGTGGTGGCCCTGTTTGGGGGGCACGTGACCCCCGCCATGTCCCCTCTACACATCGCCTATGGAACAAATCATTCCAATGTGCAGGAAGACTAGCAAGTATGGCAGAGGACCAGCATGGCTTAGCAGGGGACACTTCGATAAGCTAAATCACAAAAAAGAAGCTTATAAGAAGCAGAAACCAGGGAGGAGTATAAAAGCATTGCTCAAGCATGCAGGGAAGACATCAGGAAGGCCAAAGTGCATTTGGAGTTGCAGCTAGCAAGGGACATGAAGGGTAACAAGAAGGGTTCCTACAAGTATGTCAGTGACAAGAGGAGGAACAGGGAAAGTGTGTGTCCCTTACTGAATGGGGGAGGCAACCTCATGGCAGAGGATGCAGAAAAGGCTGAAGTGCTCAGTGCCTTTTTCATCTCAGTCTTCACAAGCAAGGTCAGCTCCCAGACTATGGCACCTGGCAGCACAGTTTGGGGAGGAGGTCAGCAGTCAACTGCAGCAAAAGAACAGGTTAGGGACTATTAAGAAAAACTGGATATATACAGGTCCATAGGGCTGGATGGGATGCACCCAAGAATGCTATGGGATTTGGCTGATGTGAAAGCAGAACTGCTAGCCACAATAACTCAGGGCAATTGGGAGAGGTCCCAGACAATTGGAAAAGGGCAAATAATAGTGCCCATATTTAAAGAAAGGGAAAATAGAGGATCTAGGGAACTACAGACTGATCAACCTCACCCCTAGTCCCTGGAAAAGTCATGGAGCAGGTCTTTTATAGAGTCATAGAAAAGTATGGCTGAAAGGGACCCCTGGAGGTCATCTAGTCCAACCCCCTGCTCAAGGCAGGGTCATCCCTATCCAAACCATCCCATGCAAATGCTTGTTTAACCTATTCCTAAAACTATGCCATCATCCTTGTCGCACAGCTACAAAACATTTTGGCCAGACATTAAAAGCTGCCCAATCTGCCACTTAAAGGAATCCATTTCTCAGCACTTGGAGGAGAAGAAAGTGATTAGGAACAGTCGGCATGGATTCACCAAGGGCAAGTCGTGCCTGACCAATCTGATTGCCTTCTATGACAAGATGACTGGCTCTGTGGATGCGGGGAGACTGGTGGGTGTTCTATATACCTTAACTTTAGCAAGGCTTTTGATACAGTCTCCCACAACATTTTTGCAGGCAAGCTAAGGAAATACAGGTTGGATGTATTGTAAGGTGGATGGAAAACTGTCTGGATCATCAGGCTCAGAGGGTAGTAGTCAATGGGTAGATGTCTAGCTGGCAGCCCTGGGGCACTCCACTGGACAATCAGATGATATTTTGCCCAGTGGAGTGCTCCACAGGGTTGTTTCTGGGGCCGGTTTTGTTCAATATATTCATCAATGACCTGGAGATTGGCATAGAATGCAGCCTCAACAAGTTTGCAAATGACACCAAGTTGGGGGGAGTAGTAGATGTACTGGAAGGTAGAATTAGGATTCAGAGAGACCTAGACAAATTGGAGGATTGAACCAAAAGAAACCACATGAGGTTCAATAAGGTCAAGTGTGAAGTCCTGCACTTACGATGGAACAATCCCATGCAGTGCCGTGGCGAGGCAGTTTGGCATCCAGGGCAAAGCCCACAGTGGCAGCCAGCCCTCACCCCACGCATGGATCTGGGGGTCACCCCCCCTACCATGCTTGCCCAGGAGTGCACACAGCAGCAGAAGCCACCCTCCCCATCCCCCCAAATGATTAATTGAGTCTGCTCTGACGCACTATAATTACAGTACATTGGAGCAGCCTCACTGCATGGGTATAGGGTCCTAAGGCTCTATTCTGCCCTACCTTCTGCTTAACAGAAGCACTTTACAAGAGCTATGTGACCTGCTACTCTGTTAATCCAAAATAGCTCATACAGAAAGGCACACGTAAGTCAGCACATAATTCAATAGATAAACTGAGGCTTTATCAACCTCCACAATTAAAACAACTCATCAGGGACAAAATGCCATAGGCACATTAGCAGTCATTTCAGTCAAGGTTTCAAGAATGATTATGATGAGCAATTTGAAGCCTGATTACAAATCAGGGCCTTGGAGCATGCTTGTGAGTTATTAGCCAGTTATTTACTAAGACCATTGTGTTACAGAAGTAAACATATGGCCAGGATCCCTTTCTGGATGTGGGAACAGTCCATGAAACCTATCCGTGTCCTGGATCTACTCCATGCAAACATGGACATGATACTCAGGGTCTATTAGGTACAAAAAAACCCCAAAAAACTGCACACAGGTTTTGGAACGCTGGTTTCAAATTAATTTTGGAGGCGGTGCCGTCTTGCTTCCAGCTTTCCCAATGCACAGTCCACCATCAAGGCGCTAAGAGTGAAGTGGAACGTTCTGCGCATAGACACAAATCAAAAATAAAACCAGCTATTTAAATCAAGGTTTCCTGCTTGGCAAGTCCGCACTGCTGAAGATTACATTGTAGTGGCTCCACCATGTGTATTTCCTAGATTTCCTAGATGTTAGGGCTGGAAGGGACCTTGAAGATCAGCAAGGCCAGCCCCCTACCCAAGGGGCAGGAAGTCAGCGGGGGTCAAAGCATCCCAGCAAGATAAGCATCCAAACATTTCTTGAATGAATCCAGGGCTGGTGCCTGCACCACTTCTGGAGGGAGTCTATTCCAGGACAGTTAAGAATTTTTTCCTTACGTCCAGCCTAAAACGGTCTTGGAGGAGTTTATAACCATTGGTCCTTGTTTTCCCTTGGAGTGCTCTGGTGAACAGAAGTTCTCCCAGGTCCTGGTGTACACCCCTTATGTACTTATAAGCAGCCACCAGGTCCCCTCTGAGCCTGCGCATTTCCAGGCTGAAGAGTCCCATGGCTCTCAGCCTCTCTTCATATGCCCTCATTTGAGGACATGGGCTGTGAAAGGCTGGGGCTAATGGGGCTTAGCCCCCACAAACACAGGGCAGCGGGTAGGGCTACAAGGCAGCCTGGCCGCAGGCTGGGAAGGGGCGCACACACAGCCAGGATTGCAACCCAGCATGTGGATGACTGGCTGCCCAGCATGGCAGGCAAGTACCAGTTGATTCTGTGAAGGGGAAGGGGCAGATCGAGGCCCCTGCTGTGAGGGAGTGAGGCAGGGGCAGGTGCTGGGGTAAATGGGGCCCAGCTGGGCTGGGTGGTGAAACAATTGGAGCCAACAAGGCGCATCTAGGTGCATGGGGGGGAGGGGGCTGCCGCCACTGTGTGCATCCCAGTGGAGGCCTGGGGAGCACATGCCCCCTGGGTCTGTGTGCGGGATGGAGGCAGCTGCTGTTGCGCACTGCGTTTTGCTCCCCGCTGCAGTGGTGCAATGCCACGTGCCTGCCATTGCTGGGCTGTGCTGCGCCCCCTGCCCACCTGGCAGTGGGACACACAAGGCATTGTGTGACACTAGAAACAGCTGCAGTGGGGCACAAAGCGCAACAACTGCCTCTGCTCCATGCCCCCCAGGTCTTCACCAGGGTGCACACGCCAGCAGGAGTCTGCCCCCACCCCCATGAACGAAATGCCTAGGCTCTGATTGTCCCACCACCTGGCCTGGCCAAGGCCCCAGTCACCCCAGCCCCTGCCTCTGCCCTGCTCCCTCTGTCCCTCACCATGGGGGCCTAGATCTTCTCCCGCCTCCCCACCCCACCCCACCCCACGGCTTTCGCCCAGTCCCACGAAAGGTATCCATTGCATACAAAGACAAAGCTATCTCCATTGCAGATGCGTCTTCATAAAGCATTTAATGGCTCTTAATCACCAAATTAAGTCAGGGTACTCTGCGCACACCAACGCCAAAGCTGCACAGAGGGTGGGGGTTTGCCAAAAAGCCACATATGGGCTTCCTCCCCCAGGAACAAAGCCTGGTGTCTTTGTTGGGCCCTTGCCAATCATCCCCCCACCCTGCAACCTCACGATGTGGTACTAAACTGAGACATGATACCATGGGTTGGGCATCACACCATGGCACAAGCGAACCTACCATGTTCAGGTAAAGACAGGCTTCTGTGCATCGCCTTATGCTGGCTGGGTCCCTGAGGCTGGGAGGAGAGCAGCTTTGCTGGGAGTAATGTGGGCATTGGTGGGGAGCCTGCATGGGCACAGAAGGGTGGAGAACCAATTTGCAACCAGTGGTCCAGTAATGGGAGAAGAACTGGGTCTGGTCACTGTCGGACTTAGGGTCCATCTCCATGTCTGTACTAGTGTCTTGAAGAGGTGGTGAGCCCTTGATCTGGCTCAGCTCCACAGTCATGCCCTGGGTTGCCATGGACCTGTGCAACCAAATAAAGCCCACAGCCACAGTCTCATCTGAGTCACCATCTGAATCACAGGAAATGAGGGCTATGTCCATGATATTCTGACATTTGACAGTCATTCACTGGGAGGATATGCGACAGCTCCTTGTAGTAGGTGCACTGCACGCATTGGACACAGTTGGTGTCATGGGTCTTTATGAACCATTGCTGGAGGACCTTGTGCTTCATATGGCACTGTTGCCAAGTGTAGCTGTGTCCACAGGCTTCCATTTTCGCAGTGATCTTTTTGAAGACTGCCTAGTTGAGGTGGCTGGAGCAGAACATTCACTGGCTCCCCACCTCTCTCCAGGTGCTGACCAGGTCCACTACCTCGCCCCAGTTCCAGTTGTTGCTGTGCTTGCAGACAATGCTAGTACTATTTGTTGGAGCCATGCCTCACAATGAGATCAGGATGTCCTTGGAATGGGTGATGTTCAAGACCAGGTTCTGGTGCTGACCTTGGTGTGAGCATAAAGTGGATGCCAGGTAGTCATTCAGGCCATTAAAATGGTAAATAAAGCCAGTCAGCTTGGGACATTCGAGTTCTGCTCCCCTTGCTAGAGTAGTCAGCCCACATCCAAGAGCAGCTGGGGTTGAGCTGGAAGCAGTGCATTATGTGAAACTTGAAGGACAGCATGGCTAACTCATCCTGGGATGCTGGCCTAGGATAACCACAAAGGACTCTGCCATGTCCTGGGAGAAAGTGATGGCACATTTTAATCTGTATACTCTGGCAGGACTTCTCTTGGGACAATTCATACATTTCCCCATCCATTACAAAAGACTTTCATGGGAGTTGTATCAGGCAGACACTGCGTGTGCCTACACGTGTATTTACACGCACCTTTACTTAAGGCACTTTAAGGCAATTTAGGCATGTGTCTACATGTGGACATGCTAATGTGCATTAAGATGTATTAACTAAAGTTAATACATTAGCGCATGTGCAGAGGTGCTAATGCGCATTAACGTGGTGCATACCCATTGACACACACCATGTTAATGTGTATCAGCACGTCTACACGTGCATTAATGCAACTTAACTATTTGCACCAAAATTTGATACCTGCTTTATACAGGTATCAAATTTAGGCTTACATAGCCTTAAATTTCCATTTTCAAGGCACATTAAGGGTGCATACATGTAGACATGTGCCGTTAATGTGCCTTAAAAATGACGATTTTAAGCTAAGCCCACTTAAAAGAGGCACATATAGACACGCCCACTGTGTATGGAAAGATTGCTATCCTGTTCAACAAGGCCTTGTTTGATGTAGAATACACAGCCCAAATAAGTAAGGAGACATAAATGCTCAGTAAAAACACCACGTTTATTAACAGTGCTGATAAAAACATTTGCATTGCTGAGTGGATTAATAGAAAAGCCCTTTATGTGTCAAGATGAATTAAGGCACCTTATGTGATCGATTAGATGATATTTTTAATGCAAAATAAACACTTAGAAAATTAGCAATGTAATTGTTCATCTAAATTCCTGAGTTGTAGAAGCTGAGAAAGTATGGCTGGAAACAGACATCACCTTGGTACCACCATAAAAAATTTTATGGTGGCACAAAGGCCAAGCAAACAGATGTGCATGCCCCCTGCTGTGCCATAAATGCCCACAATTGTGGCTGCAACAGTAGGTGGTATAAATTGGCATCACTTGTGTCAAAACATCTGTTTGCTTTTTGGTAGGAGAGCAGGGGCAGCTCCACACTGCCTGCGCAGACCTGAGGGCAACTGCATGGGTTCCCGTTTGTAGAGGCAAACCACAGAAATCCTCTGGCAGGGAATTCCCCAGGAATGGGTACTGTGCTTTGACTCAGGACTCAACTCTGAAAATGGTGGAACCCCATGTTCCTCATTTGCAGATGCATGCCCCAGGAATCCCCTTGCAGAGGATTCCCTGGGCATACATATTCTGCTAATGCACCCCAACTCAGGATACATGCAGGGTTCCCCCGTTTGCAGCTGCTCCATAGGACTGGGTCCCCAAAGCCTTGAGAGAGGCAGGGGCCCAATTGGGCGGACAAATGTGATGTTAATGTTACAAAATGAGGTGAACCGCCAGAACACATCCCATAACAAAAACAATGTCTGTTTTTAACCTGTGTTCCCCCTCTGTCACTTAGTTATATGCTCCCTGAAATCAGCAGTGGATTTTCATCAGTCATCAAGCTGTGGGGCGTATCATAAAGGGTTTGTCCATCTAAATTGACAGCTGCACGCAAGGAAATTTTCTGTAATCAAAAATGAGAAAAACAAATATAAATTATCAGAGCTCCACTATTCATTCTGTTCTTTCCACAAAGTAACATTTATAGGCAAGTGCAACATCTCGAAATGCATACCATTCAAAAGCCATCTTTTCTGCTAAGAAAGCAAACTACGGAATAACGTAGAAAGTAGCTCTGAGACTCACTGAGGAGATAATATAGTATTGTCCAAATTTCCCTCATGCCTGTGGTGTAAAGACTCCGTAGATCAGGAAGTAGATAACTGTCTGGTATCTATTGGTCACAACACTGAAATGACAGCAGATGCAAATAGGGTGGCAAATCAGCTTTCATAGGATAGCAAACTAGCACCCAGTTTTCAGCTGCTGCAAATGTTCATAAACATTACTCTCTTCTGCTATTGTTCCCCAAGTTATTCCCAGAACTGTGGTGTTTCTGCAGTACTTAAAGGAAATGTAAATAGTTAATAACTATTCTAGTCATTGCTGATTGATATAATTCATAGCTACAGTACAAGGAGTAAATCCAGTGACCAAGAAGGAACAATTTTTATTGTAATGATATTGATGGTAGCAACCCATTTTGTTATTTTAATTCGGCAAAGACCACTGTGACTGAGTTTAGTAGCTGTGCCTCTCATAGTTGAAATGTATTTTATTTATTTTAAAATATCATACTACAGATCATTTAATATAAACTTCACTTTACCTGAAAATCACGGATATAGGTGAGGAAAAAGGAGAGAAAGGAAAAAGCCAGAGACCATTCTGACATTGTGCTGGTGATGTGAACTGTGTAGCCCTATATAAAAGAAAAAGGAGCTGTGTCATGAGCCTGGTCTTTCAGTTCCCAATAGTGGAAAGCCTTTATTTCTGCATTAAAAAAAAATGCTTTCACATACTGTTCCACATTTAACATCACTCCTATGAGAAAGAGGTATGCTGATTTCATCTGGAGTCTGGGAGCAAATGCCTGAAAAATTTAACTCCTGAGAGGACAGTTGAACAAGGCCCTATGTAATTGTCTTACTGGACTGTAGCTTTCACCATCAGCCTAGATAAACCACACAGGATAAAACTCTGGTGGGAAGATTATTTCCTGGGCTTTCTAGGGAGCATGTGGTGCAGCAGCTGCTCTGCAACTCCAAGAAAGTATACAGCGGTATGCAGTTCCTTTCATGCCAACACACTCAGTTCCATCATAGCAGGGAGGGAAGTTTTATCACAAACATTACCTTGACTCCAACCCTGCATCTGTAATGATGCTATTTGAGACTAAAGTCTCTGAAGAAACTGACTGAAGTCTCACTTTAGGCTTTGATTCAAGCTTTATGGGATAAAGGAAGAATGTGGTTTAATTCAGAATGTAGATGGCAATGGACAAAAACCTTCTCTAGAAAAGTATTTCTATACTGCTGGGAAGAATCAAGCTCCTCCCTTGTATATGAATGGAATCAGAGACTTTCTCTACCCTCATCAGGCAGAGAAGATAAAAACATCAAACAAAACAATCTGGATGACTTTTGTTCCCAGCAGGTTTCTGTAAGTTGCACTGTATAACAACAGTTACTTAAACTGTAGCAACATCACATGCATGCAGCTGATTTACCATTCTTCTCCTCTCTTTTCTCCCCTCTTCATCTCCTCTTTGTCTTCATTCTTCCAATTCTTACTTAGTTCATTTATCCACTAAACAGCAATAATGAACACATAGACCTAATTTTGATTCTAACGTTACCATGTAAAATACAACTGAATTAACTTAATGCTGATGACAATTCTGGGGTTAGGAGAGATAAGGCCAAGTCTTATTAAGCATCATATCAGCTAGTCCTGAGTGAACCTGCGAGTATCCAATTATAGCGGCTGGTTTTTTTCACTGCAAAACCCAGCCTAACACATCACTACTCCATGAAACATTTAATCTAATTTACTCCATGAATCTACAATCATTATTGAAACATCCATGTCTGAAACACCAGGGCAAGAAAACCAAATCTTCCTCCATTATCCAGGGTACTCCAGTAGCCTGAGTGCTCAGCAGACAGGAAAGGCATGGAATAGCTTTTATACTCTTAACTGTGTGTGTGTAAATAAACCTGTGTTTTTATTTATTTTATATATAAACTGTGTACACCCAACATCCTTTATGGGTTTTTTTTTCTTTTTCTTTCTGTTAAAACCAGGCCTACCTTCTCCTCTGGATTCCAATGTAGCTTTTGCTCTAGACCAGTTCCATAATGGCCGCTGAACAAAAGTATTGTTGAAACAGCCACTATAAGGAAATAGGTTAAGGAATATCTGAGGCACTAAACAAAAAACACAGAACCTTCAAATTCAGTTGTACATTCTATTTCAACCTGTAGTTTGTGCGAAGAAAGCGAAGGCACACTGCAGAATCTTTTGCATATCAATACCCAGGGCTATGTATGTATCTCGTGCTTCACTGTGCTCCTGCACACAGCCACAGGACTGTGTATACATCCTCAGTTCCCTTAAAAAACAGAGTCCATGACAACTGAGGGCTGAAAGCAGGGATGGGAAGAAGGAGAGTTCTTGGGATTCATACTGACTCTGTATCTTTAAGGCTGCCAACAGGTGATACATTTATCCCAGAATAAATTTTGATGCAATGCAGTAACAGTTTATAATGGTGTATTGCAAGGTACATCTGTATACTTATTCCAGAACTACAACATTGAAATAATGGCAGAAAAGCAGCAGTGCATTCAGCTGCTCATTAAACCCTGATTAGAAGCATGACGTGTACATGCAAATCCAAGGACATTTTTGTCCTGGGACAAACGCAGGCACTTTATCCAAGGCTAAATGCAAAATCTGTTCTAGGGCTATGAACCACAGTTACTGGAAGGGAGGGAACTGTTCTTTCTTCTATGAGGTATGTCACTGTGCAGCCTATTGTAGGTGGCAAAAATAATCTCAGGATAGTGGGGATGTATCAGTGAAACAGGGGTTTTAGCACTGAACTCATCAATTTGACATCTGATCTAGCAGCTAATTCAGTGTATACTGCTTCAAACATGGGAAAGGAGAACTTGTCTGACACAGTTCTGATAGCATCACACTGCAGAAACAGGCCAAGGATGCTGTTTAAGCTCTAGAGGCATGAGTCGGTGAGAGAAATCAAATAACCAGCTGGTAACACAGCAATATTATCTTTTTTTGAGAGTCTTTGTAATGAAATGATCACTCCAGTGACCAAGTTAACTACCCCCACAAACACACATAGTAAGTCTAAAACAATTGCTATTGTTAATGTAGTATTACAGGGCTCTGTAGATCATCACACTTAGTGAAACCAGATAACCAGATTTAATGAAATGTCAGAAAGCTGTGAGGCTCAAAACAGAGATGATGGGGTAAAATTTTAGGAAGTCAAACTAATTGCTCTGTCTGCCCTTAAACTCTAAAAATTCCTGGAAAATTAACTCTCTTACTCAAGAGCCCAGCCTGAGTGCTTCCCAAACTTCCTTAAATGTGAGAAATGGATGGGACTTGCAATGTGCCACAAAGGACAACTATTAGGCTATTTTGGCCATGGGGATGATAATGAGTTTGATGAATTCATAGAATCATAGAAAATTAGGATTGGAAGGGACCTCAGGAGGTCACATCTAGTCCAACCCCCTGCTCAAAGCAGGACCATCCCCAACTAGATCATCCCAGCCAGGGCTTTGTTGAGCCAAGCCTTAAAAACCTCCAAGGATGGAGCTTCCACCACCTCGCTAGGTAACCTGTTCCTGTGCGCTTCACCACCCTCCTAGGGAGAAAATTTTCCTAATATCCAACCTCAACTTCCCGTGCTGCAACTTGAGACTGTTGCTCCTTGTTCTGTCATCTGTCCCCACAGAGTACAGTCCAGCTCCATCCTCTTTGCAACCACCCTTCAGGTAATTAAAGGCTGCTGTCAAATCTCCTCCGTCTTCTCTTGTGCAGACTAAATAAACCCAGTTCCCTCAGCCTCTCTTCAGAAGTCACGTGCCCCCAGCCCTCTAAACATTTTTGTTGCCCTCCGCTGGACTCTCTCCAATTTATCCACATCCTTTCTGTAGTGGGGGGCCCAAAACTGGACATAGAACTCCAGATGTGGCCTCACCAGTGCAGAATAAAGTGGAATAATTACTTCCCCCGATCTGCTGGCAGTGCAAAAACCAATGCAGCCCGGTATGCCGTTAGCCTTCTTGGCAACAAGGGCACGCTGCTGACTCATATCTGTTTTATTGTCCACTGTAACCCACAGGTCCTTGTCTGTAGAGCTGCTGCTTAGCCAGTCAGCCCCCAGGCTGTAGCAGTGCATGGGATTCTTTTGTCCTAAGTGCAGGACTTTGCACTTGTCCTTATTGAACCTCATGAGATTTCTTTTGGCCCAATCCTCCAATTTGTTTACGTCACTGAATCCTAGCCCTAACCCTCCTTTGTTCCTTTTGTCAGGGTCCTGAACTCGATCATCTTGTGTCACTGCTGCCCAACTTGCCATCCACTTCTACATCACCACCAATTCTTCCCTGTTGAATTGAAGAAACATCAAAACAAATTCCTGACAGAAGTTCCCTTCCTTCTTGAGTCCAGCTCAAATGCTGATGGTAGCTATTGTAGGATGGGCCCAGGGCAGTTTTTAAGTAGCATATTCCAAGGCATTTAAGAACTGACCAGCCAATGCCACCACTTCCAACTTCACTTGGAAACCAAGCAGACAATACAGATCATGCCACACTAGTCTATTGTACTCACGGCAAAAGCAGACTGTTGTGTTGACTAGCTACAGTTTTCCAAACTGACTTCAGTTGTATCCTAACACACATCACTCTGTAGCACTCTAATCTCAAAATGACATAAACTCTGGATTTTTATTTCTTAAATGATTTCTGTCCTTGGTACTTTCATACCTTGTTTCTTTGCTAGAAATGCTTCCTTTGCCATCTCCTGGCTCTCATGGAATGAAGAACTGCAATTTCAGTGTGCAGGGAACTGTCCTGTCTCCCTTTAACTAGTCAGGGAACCACTAGCAGGGTTAGCACCTTTTTTTTGATGTTTGACAGGGTCCACGATATATTATAGCACAGACAGTTATTTAGAACTGAGCCTGGCAACGCTTTCTGACAGATGAGCCAAAAGAACTGAACGTGGGCTAGAAGCATGAAGGCATTAGGATCCGATTGCTGCTGCTGTCTCAGCCTACTACTCAGTTGCCCCCCTCTTCCAGAGCCTATTCTGCCAAACTGTGGTGTGGCACAGGATGAGCTGCTCCTCCACTGGAGCCCCACGTGGCTAACTGCAGAGCAGCACAGGAGTCCTCCTCCACTGCCAAATGCTGCCAAAGCCATGGCTCCACAGGTCAGTTTCAAAGGTTCCACGGGCCGGACTTGACTCGTGGGCTGTAAGTCACCACCCCTTTTTAGCAGATATTCAATCCATTATTTGTTTGAGTAAAAAAAGTGATGTATTTTATGGTCTAGCTCAGAGCTGCCCAACGTCTAAAGCCCTAGGGGCCTCAACCCACACAGGCAGCATCAGTCAAGCCACAAGCTATATGGACACTCCCCTCCCATGCGTGGCCCCAGACTCACCCTTAGCTCCCCTTGGGATAGAGGCAGAAAATGGCAGCCAGAAGGAGTGGGAACCTAGAGCCTCTGGCTGCTGTTGCAGTGAGAACGACGGGGGGAGTGGTAGCCGGGCAGGAGCCCAATGGCTGCAACTTAGTTAGCACATGTGGCCCACAGGTCCCCCACTGTACAGCCCCAGTCTAGCTAGTAATACTAGTGTTAAGTCATATTTCACAACAAAGGATACTGCTCGAAATGCTTGATACACACCATAATAATAAGGTTAGTCGAATCCAGAAGATTTCTTTGCCGTGAATATCTGGCTGCATCATATAGGAAAGGATAGTCTGAATCAGAAGGTAAAAGGTCCCTATTCCAAACGTTAGACAGGCTCCAAGCATGTGCACGGCATACAGAGCACTTTTCTAGGGAGGAAGACAAGTATAAATACGTGAATAAAAATCATAAGGAAAAGAATCTAGTAACTACAGTACAACAGCTCTTGTCAAGTCAGCCAGAACTTATTTTTGTAAAAGCTTTCCTTGGTGCATTTACCAACTCTCATGAAGATCTTTCCACATCTCAAGCTAAGCTGTATTGGGCGAAGATCAGTACTTAGATACGGGATCTCAAAGGAAAACCCAAATATAGACCAGGGGTTAACACCACTGCCACTCACTCCCACTCCTTATCTGCTTCCAAATTTCCAGTTTTCATTCATTGCTGTTGACTAACTTCTGCATTAGTTGTTAACAGGAAAAAGGGGATAAGCAACAGAGGTGTTATCCCCCCTGAGTGCTCATTGTGCTGACAGCAGCTCCAGCAGCCACAGCAGGAAGTCCTGAAGCCTGGATCTGGACATGGGTCACCCAGGCTGCAAGGAGTCCTGTGGGCAAAAAGACCCACCCTTTGACTATGGCTTACCCCTGGCTGCTGGCAAGGAATATGGTCTGCCAGCTCATTTGAGCTTCACATCCCTGTTTTAGATTAAAGAGAAAATGTATGCCTTCGACTCTTGTAGTCACTGACCATAACCTGTGACTTAACCATGAAGATGTATTGAAAGAAAAATGGGATGCAACACACAAGCTAGAAAAAAGAAATCCCTATAAAGTGAGCGGGTAAGGAGATGACATATGGGGCTAGATATCCTATTAAGCTTTTCAACCCTAATTTGTACTCTGATGAACACAAGATCACACATAGAGGAGGTAGGATTAGAATGTGATTCTGCTCTGAAAGGTGATTATAAAAATGGAGTCAGTGGGCTTTAGTGTTAACTCTCTCTTCAGTACTCTAGCTCTAACTGGCTCACATTGCACGGAAGTCTTTTCTGCCTGCCAGTTCTGCAAACTCCACCAAGCTCACATCTCTCTTTGCTGTGCATCATCAAAAGTAATAAAGGCTCGCTAGACCAAATTAGGTTCTCAAAGTGACAACCAATGTAGCACCATTGAAGATACTTGTGCAAGCATGGTGCTTAACTGATTGGAATTTAATACACAATTCTTTTGATGTAGAAGAAAGAGCCATCGACTCACTCCCCTGTGGGTATAATTCAATCATCTGTTCTAATGGTAGTTAAAAACAACAAAAAACCCTGGCTATTAAAACTGCTAAACAATAACTTAGGATGTGCAAGGAATAGGGTCTGCTGAATTAAAAAGTGCCTTTAACTTATTTAAAAGTAGAACCACACTTTAATTAAAAGAATCAGAGAGCTGCCCAAGCCCAGGTGCTCATCAAGCTAGCTAGCATAGCAGTTTCTGTAGCCAGTAGCACACAAGGGTGTGACAGGGCTACATTACAATGGGCCATCTTTGATTCCCCAGCCTGACTGACCAAGCAGGCATTTACACCAGCAGGCATTTACACCAGGATCAAATAGGGGTATTTTTTTGGCATGAGTCCAGATAAATCTTGTATCTCTGGATTCATAGCAAGACACCAGCACCTCTTAGCCACCACAGCAAAATTAGCAGAATATAAACCATGAACTGTAATGGTGGCAAACTGTGATAAAGACGGAATGATCTTTTTTAAAATACCTGTCAAAGGAATTTATACTTTACTAAGAAAGAAAAGAAGGGTACATATAATCTTGCCTTCTGCTTGCAGTCAGTAACCAGTACCTGACACTCAAAAGGAAGGATGGGGAAACAGCACCTTGCCAATTGTGAAAGGCAAACTTAAAATAGTCTACAGGACTGAGAAGGGGTTCTTATTACTTGATGCAGGAGACTGGCTCTCTCTTAACTGCATTATTACAAATGAGAATGAGTACTATGGAATTAATCAGTCCCTTACAAAATCGGGTTGTGCAGATTATATGGCATTAAATCCTAAAGGCTGACTATGGTTGAGAACAGATGTAGCTTTAAATACTTTAAAGGGGGAGGGGGAATTGCCAGTCTGAAACTCACATCAGCTGTTACATCGGCCTGCTCCTGTCCCAATAGAGGCAAGCTAAATCGCTTTGCTTATCATTCTGAATGAAACAGGGTTGTTATGTCTGCCTACATATCCTCTGCTTCTGTACTGTAGAAAAAGGAGGTCAAATTCTGTGCTGCTATACTGCCATCTAATGGTCCCGGTGCAAAAAAAAAATAAATACAGGTGGTTACAAGCACCACCAAGGATAAACAGCAGCTTTTCCTTGGTTGGGAACTGACCAGCAAGGCTAAAGCAAAATAATTACTCTGCTCTAGCTGTGCTGTAGTAGTGTTAGAGTGATGCTGTAGTCATGACGGTCCAGGAATTATGTGAAACACAAGGATTTTGGAGATACCTTGTACTGGATCAACTCAATGGTTGGAAGAAACTTAGATCAATCAAATTAGACAAACTTATGAATGTAAAACATTCGCCATCAGGTCTGAGGAGGGAAGCAACGACAGCGACAGCTGACAGTTAAGAACTGAGAATAGAGCTGTTAGGTTTGGAGGCTGCTAATTCTGCTAATGGTTTGCCTATTACCTCTGCGATTTCCTGCCCGCCCCGCACCCTCAACCTGACAGCTCTGTTCTCTGTTCTTAACTGTCACAGCACTATCATCCAAACACATCCTTGCCTCTAACTATGCTGGTCAAACTCCCCAGCTAAGAGCCTCCCCAGTGGCCCAGCTTTAGCAGGAGGTATAGAGGGTGCACTCAAGTCTATCCTATCCCATCAGTATGAAGAGGAAAACGTTAACAGCAATAGTAACACGTGGCCCTACATTACTCCCAAGTGACAGTCATGCTTTTCCATGTTTTTCTGTGATTGTTTGCAACCCTTCCACATATTCTTGCGACCCACTTTTGGGTCACAACCTACGAACTGACAAATGCTGCTTTAGGGAACTGTGTAGGGAGGAATGATCTGCAGATCCCACACAGCCTTAGGCTGGGTTCCCATTGATCAGCAGGAGATATGAACATTTAACAGATGTAGAAATGAATAATTAAGCTGAATTAATGAATGATTAAGCATGTATTACACAATACTTGCAACCCAATGTAGTATACCACAGCCCTGAACATGATGTGTCATGCTTTGATTCTCAACCAGGGTGCTACCGCATGCTGGGCCAGACCTTTTGAAGGGTGTAGTGAGGTGCGAGGAGATAAGCAAAGTGTTAGGAGATAAGCAAGGTGTTAGGAGATAAGCAGGTAAACTAAGCAGATAAGTGTAGGCTTAGGCTTGTCCCTGTCTGGACAATCCCCCATCCTTACATCCTTGCAGAGAGGTCTGGCAATAAGCACTATAATCTATAAAATAGTTCTTGAAATTGGGTGCCACTCAATTCACAGGAGTTATGGAGGTGTGGTGCCTTGAGTTCAGTGAGGGATGCCTCAGGTTCAGAAAGGCTGAGAATCATTGACTTAGATTACAGAAGTACTGTGGAGAAAAACAGATGCCAGAAGTGGAAGAGGCAGAGCTTGGACTTTTTCAAGAATTTATCCTGTTCTGAAGGCGTGCACAGTCTACTTGTCAGACACGCTGACCAGAACTGGCTGAAAGTTGGATTTCTTTTTCAGAGAAACATCAACATTTAGAAATTTATTTTTATTCCAATGTGGAAAAAAGATTTTCAAAATTTTCCACAAAATGAAAAAAAAAATGTTTTTTGAATTTTATGCACTACTATTACTGACATGTCACTTAATGGAAAAAAATAAAATAGATGAGAAATCTATAATTCCAAAATTAAATGTCAAAATTCTGGAAGTTGTCCAATGTTGATTCGCCAAAAAACAACATAGTTTCCAAAATGATTTGATTGAAGAAAAAAAAAACCAAAACCCAAAACTTTTTTTGTCAAATGCTGCAGTGAAAAACTTCTGATCAGCTTTAGTACTCTTTATCAGTATCTAAATAAAGTCAGAGAAGTAAAGACAGTGTAACTTAGCTCAAAATTTATTTTTAATGGTTATCATTCTACTACAATTTCCAGAAAAATATAAACAGAGCACAAACCTGAAAGTTTGAAATAAGGCATATTCCAAAGCAACTTATCATTCCTAGTATAAAACCAGTCTTATTTAACTTGGCGATCTTGGGTTTTTCTGGATTCAGAGCACAAACTTGTTTGTAACGAACATACATGGTAGCAATACCTGTGAGGAACCCAAATATAGTGACATTTTTAAGTAAATATGGAGATTTTGTTGACTGTAAAAGTGATGAGCAAGAGTTAACTCCTGTTTAAATTGCAAAAGCTACATTATTGCCATACTAAGCAGAGTACAGAACTCGCAAGTCAGGAAACAGGGAAGTTAAATAACGACTGTGCAATTATCATGAGTTAGCCTCACAATTAAGGTTTATTAGTATTTGTGATTCCCGATTAAACTGATTTTTTTAAGACATTTTAGAGACAATTCCTACCCCTGATAATGATAAAAAGCAAAGATTTGTTGCCTTAAGGGCTAAATCCTATTCTAGTTTTACACACGTAAGTGGCATTTATGTAGCCACAAAACTGCAATTTTTGGCACTTGCCGTTTTGATTCTATTTCCACTTGTGCAATTGTGCTTCTCCTGGGCTTCTCTGCTGAGCCTGCTCAGAAGACTGCATCTTGGCTGCACACAGAACTGTTCAGACATACATGTTATGCCAATTAAATCCCAAAACGTTAGTCATAGAAAAATCATGACCAGTCAGCATTTGAAGCTGGATGAAGAGGAGGAGAAAGAGGAGAAGATGTTCCTTCATCTTTGGGTCCAGTAAATCTAGTAGTTAAGGCACTTGTATAGGGTGCAGAATCTATACGCTATGTCCCCCTCATTCAGAAGATATTCAAACCTACATTGTACACTTCTTCACAAGTGCTCTAACCACCAGGCTAAGCATTGTCTAAAGCATTTCTCAAGCCTCTTGAACCTAGCTCTCTGGGCAGCCCTCATCAGAAAACATGTGGGGCCAGAAGGAAAACAAACTACAGGGAGTATGAGGTTCAGTGAAATGGATGCTGCAGCCTCTGCACTGTTGGGACAGAAATTACTTCACTGTTGTTTATCCTTTTTATTCAATGAATAGTAAATTAATTGTGTGGAAAATGCAGGGGACAGAACCATACCTTCCTCCCCATATCACGGCAGCAATGGTCTTACTGAGCCACCTGCCCTCTACGTTTTGCCCCTTTTCCTGCTACTGTGCATCTTTCCTTTCTGGCCAACAGCTTCAAGAAGAGGACTAAGCAATGTTCACCCCATGGCCTGAAACAGAACTCTGCTGGGAAACAGGACATGCAGGTTCAAATCCCCTCTTTCTGCCCAGCATCTGTATAGATTGCATGCTTCAGCAGGGCTTTTTGGCACTTCTTTCTAACAGCTGATTCAATTAGTGGGAGCGGTCTAATTTACCCTACTTTAGTACTGGCAAATACATGGATACCTGGACAATGCTATTCTGATAGAAGCCTGTGCCTAAGCGCCAAAAAGTGCAGTTACCAATCAGTGCCACTTAAGAATTAGTTCTGATCAGCGTTCCACACCTTAAGATGTCTGGATTTCTTTTATATTTAACTCTGAATTTCCTGGATTCAGAGTACATCCCTGTAATGCATTTTACTCTAAGTGTTCTGTTTTAACTCTCAGTGTAGCTTTTCCCTGGGAAGTGTATGTAGCTTAGTGACCTAGTTGAGAAAATTTAAAAAATTTAGAGCTGGTATTTAATGTGCTTTCTAGAACGGTCTACAATGTGTTGGTTTCTGTACTTACATAAGAAAGTGGATATATTCAACATAATCCCAAACAAACATCTTTCAGGAGGCATTATTCCTGTATCACTGGACGAAAAACAAAGAGAAATAAGGATTTTCATCATGTACTGCGATTTCCTATATACCGAAGCATCTTTGTGAGAGGGGGGATGAAAAGAAGGAAAAGTTTCACAAAGCCTTCCAAGCAACTTTGACCAATCTGATTTTCCAATAGTTATCATGTAAGTTTCTAGAGCTGGAGACACCAACAAGAATGTTTTGTTAGGGCCACAATGTTTTCAGAATAGAAAAAGACTATATAGCTTATCATAGTCATCCTTTGTACACTTACCTTAAATCTACATGAAAAGAAATATTAAAGAATATTAAGCCTTGAAAATGAAGCACACTGTAGTCTGAAAAGGCCAGAGGTCAGGCTTATTTGAACCTCAACTCAGTCCAATTGGGCATACAGATTCAAATATAGATATCAATTACATTGTTACTTTGGTCACAGGATTCCTGCCTCACCTTACATTTGGGTTAGACTGTACTATGAACAAGACAACAGTTACATATTTTTTAAACCCGGTTCTTCAATATGTGATTCATGCCTCATTCACCAAATAACAAGGCAGATTTAGAGGGAGAAATGTTTAGTTTTTAACTTCTGAGAATCCTGGATGTTATTCTGCGTCTCTGTTACACCAAGGTGAAACTCTTGAGTAAATGTGTTATCAGAGCTAAAGGCTTAAGCAGTAATCTTAAAGGCAAGCTAGAACATCAAACTTCCTGAGCGTGTTCCACTCTCTCAAACTCCTCCAGTGAAAATATTTTAGCATAAATAAAGAGAAATATTAGAAAGGAAAACTTTAAAAAGACTATGTTTATTACACTTAGTGAATCAGAAAGAAATTAGCCCCTGTTGAGAGAAGCACTGAGAGGCCTAAATATACTTGATACTTATTTGCAAGAACACCTAATAAGAGCAACAAATCTCTTGTTAGCAACATTTTCCTGGTTACATTTTCTGTACCGTTTATTCAGACGGTGATCCCTATAACAACAATAGCCACTTAGGAGAGAGACAGAACCGGGACATCAACATGTTGCTACTGATAGTCAAGCGCACCATTTAAATCCTATTAAATGGTGTGGCTCTGCAAGCAAATTACTGAGAATTAAGATGCAGTAAGATAAGGCAACACACAAAGCGAGTTACCTACTCTGTGGTAACTGCATGCATGCTCTTACTCAACAGTACAGGTGATCCAACTTACCCTACTGAGGGGCAAGCTACTTTGTAACTACTACAAAGCAAGAACAAATGTGTTGTTTGATGCTTATATCTTTAAAAAAGTCTTCAGGTTAATGTTAAAACCAGTCATTCAGAAATGTTTCTTTTAAATCAGTTTAAAATTTGGAACTGAAGCAGCATTTCCAGGAGAAAACTCTAATTCTGTTAATAAGATTAAACTATAGTTAGCAGTACAATCGTATGTGTTCACTGACCTGATGTAGGGCACCAGTGGGTCAACATGGCGTAGAAAGATTGCAGTTATGTATGGAAATATGAAAGATGCAGCTGACCAAATAACCAAAGCTGATGGCAAGAAGCAAAGCCCTTGCTGGAACCACCACATTTCAGTGTTTTCTCCTAAATCCAGACACTAAGAAGAAGCAAATACACAGTAGGTTTAAGGATTTTTATCTCAATAGTTTTGTTCTGAAGCTGAATCATGAACTGTATTACCATGCAATCTTTATGTAAGACACGCTGTGAATAAGCATAATAAAATACATGTCTTTTTACCACAAAGACTATGTTGAGGTGGCTTGAATTTTGTATCATTTTCAGTTCTGCATTGCAAAACCAAGGCAAAGGCTAACAGGAAATCGCTGATTTTACAACATAGACACAACTTCAAAGAAGAAAACAGCAATTTCTTTTGGAAACTTTCATACTAAAACTCATATCAGAAAACCAGAGAAAGAATAAGGTCACTTTACTGCCTTTTTTGGCATTTGTCTATTGCCAGATCTGTCAAGAGGCTCACTTTACTTTATTAATTCTATTTTCTTCCTCTTCATGGTGTGCGTAACAGCTCATTAAGGTTAATGAGGATCAGAGGGTATAGCAACTGCAGGGAATAGAGAATATGCATCAACAATGACAGTTTTACTAACAAAGGAAATGGCAATCATAGAACCTTTAATGAGAATCCGGGCTAATTTTGGAAGTAAAACAAAAACATGAAAATATTACTAACGTTTTCAATTCTTTAGCACCTGATATCTTACTAACTCAATACACATTATAACCTCCACATGAGTAAATGCATATGCTAGCACCTTCAGAACCAGCCATCATCTAATTGGGGTAGTGGTTGGGCGACTGCAGGAAGTTCCACTTACACACCTAGTTATGCATGTAATTCCACACTTCCACACCTTAGTTTTGAAAATGTCACCTTGAAAGCAAGCCTGTACCTATACATCTAGCCCTGCACGAGAAGTGTGTACCTCTGCAGCACAGAGAAGGACTTGTGTCTTCCCCCCATCTCTGCTGGTAGAGGGCAGTAACCTTCTTTTAGCTCCAATCCAGTTCTGCTAATGTGTGGTCTTTTGCCTTAACCATGGTTACAGTCTCTTCCTTGTGAAACTCTCCCAAATGTACTTTAGTGAAGTAAAGAATACAGAAACAGATTAGGCCTAGTAGAGATAAGGGACAAAGAGGTGAAAGACTGGAGATGGAACAGAGCACTAAACAGGGCAAAGAAAGCAGGAAGAGTGCACAATGTAGAGAGAGAGTTTAGTGCTGACTGGACAGGGAATCAGAAGAGAAAAAGATCAGAGAGACAACAATGCCCAATCCATAAGTGAGAAGAACAGATTCCTAATTATTCAGCCATAAGGAGAGGAAGTAAGAGAAGGAAAACTCTCAAAGGAGAGAGCAGCTGCAAAGTCAAATAGAAATGTATCTCAGATTGAGAAGCTGAAAGACAAAAGAGATCATGAACTGAAGATAAACAAAGCAGGGAGAAGGAGAAAAGATGATGGCAGAAGTGTCCGAGAAGCAAGCATAAAGGCTTGGCCCAGATCAAGAATTGAAAAGTAAGGACAGAAATAGACAGCCAGATATGGAGACAAGATCACACAATGGTCAGAGGTGAAAACCCCTCCCCACACTCCAATGCGGTCTGAAGATGCTCTTCTACCCAGATTACCATTCTGATATGGACCAATCCAACCTCCTGATACAGGCCAGATATAACCCTCACCTTGCCCATGCTGCTCATGTCCTGTGATCCGACTATCTCATGTACTCCAGTAGCATACTGGAACACATGGGATAGGCAGAAAGAACTCCAGTTCCCATGGAAGGACGTGGCAGGTTTTCTTCAAACAGCACATGGCTGGTGGCTTCCCTTACTTGTTTCCCTGAAGCTAAACCTTAATGCATATACCCTCATTTCACTCCCTACTCACTGTGGGTTTTACCAGCTATACCACTAGCAGCACTCTTTTGTCTACTCCTTACTGACAAATATGGAACCTTTCCACCACAGATGGCATTCTACCGATAACAAGGGATCACCAGTAATCAGGCGCTGGAACCCTTGATACATGTCAAAACCTCACCCTGTTCTGGATGAAATCAGACAGATTATATCATCATGCAACAAAGATGCAGCTACAAATAAGGCAAATATATTTTGTTGGGTAACGCATGAGGGTTTCCAACATGTAGGTGGTGAGGCAATGAGAGTACAACAGTAGAAATTAAGGTTGGGTGTAAACATTAAGTGCAAGTATACTTTTAAGATTAATTTTAAATTATTAAAGTAACACTTGATATTTGATAGTGACTTCCATTGTAAGATTACAATGATTTCAAATATTTTAATGTAATCCCCACAACTGTGATACTGGTAAATTACATTTTCCCAATCTATAAATAGGGAAAAAAACATAGGTAATATTCTTTATTCAAAATCACTCATAACCTGTTGTATGAGGAGAAATATAATCCAAACCTCTCAAGTTTCAGTCCGGTGATGATAAATGTTAATGTTCTTATTATTCCCTTAAAATTCGTAAAGGCAATTTAAAATTCGTAAAGGCAACTCATAAAGGCAATTTCTTTCCAATAGATTTTGTCTGAGAATAGACAATTTGTCACATACCTGGAAATACTGATGACAGCAAGAATTCCGTCTCAAGGAGAATCCAAAATCATCTTTCTGCTACACTTTCCTTTTTAATTTCTCCATTTTTCTCATTTCATCCTAAATATCTTCAATACAAAAGAAAAATTATCAGCAATATATTCTATAGTTTGATGTCCCTGCCTTTGTGCCCTCTGCTTCTACAGTCTCTTTTATCCTAGGGCACTATACTCTGCTTTACTCTTTATTGACAAGCTCCAGGTTTTTCAATCCCCTTTCACCAAACTTTCTTCCTTCTCCCTCTTTTCCACATACAATTTGGCTTTATTTATGACTCATAGTCTTTCCTTTCTCCCCTTACTCTAAAATACCAAACTCTCCTAACCTAAAACAACACAGACCATTCCCAGACCATTTAATTTAGGCCTCTTTCCCTAATTTATCCAGAAGTTATTAGGTTTTCTCCACTCCTTTTTTAACTAGGGACAGTAAAATTCCTGAGAGCTTCCTGATTCCTGTGTCTCCTTATCCAAACTATAGACTGATTACTAGATGGAAGGACAACTTCTTTGGTGTGAAGACCAAGTCCAAATGCATGCGTCTAGATACAGCTAGCCCATCTGAGAAACGCACATCTGAACTCCATTATGCACAGGTGATGTTGGTTGTGCTACACAAGGTCTGGATGCAGTCTCTCTGTTTTCCACATGGGTCAAAAACATGGCTACCAACCTCCTGAATTGTACGCTGTAGCAAGGATATGAACAGGGGACTAATTATATATCAGTTAACGTGGTAGGTTTTGTTTTCTTGAGTACGGCCCTAGTTTGTTATCCAGACAGACCCAAGAACTTCAAAAAGGCTCAAAAACATGATTAGAGAGTGTGTGCACATCCATCCCTCCTCACTGCCATTCAAAACAATCCCCGGTCTAGAAACCCTAGGGAATACTGGACTTAACAAAAGGAACGTGGAAGCAGCAGTCCCCTATACCAACAATACAGTATAGTACAGGGGGTTCCCAAACAGTTATGCATACCCCTGGGGGTACACAAGATATCTGTGGGGGATATGTGGGAGAAATTGTGTAATGGCGGATTTAATTTTCATTATAAGAATACTTGGCATTTAAGAGGTTAAAATATAAAACACATGCTGGAAGGGGTACATGGGCAGCTGGTAAAACTAGAAGGGGGTAGGCAATAAGAAAATGTTTGGGAACCTCTGGTATAGTACATATTAAAACAGGCAGAGAATGCATGAAAAGAAATATCTGGAGGACATCCTTCCTAGAAAACAATGGCAACACAGCAGGAGAAAAGAAGCTTGTCCGCACTAGAAGAGCTTCTGCCGTTACAGCTACATAAGACGAGATATGTCTGAGTACTCTAGTGAAGATTCAGATTACGCTAACAAGAGATTTTTTGCCAACCTAAGTACACCGGATTCCAGAATGATAAAAACTAAGATGGCAAAAGTGCTCTCCTACCAACATAGTTGTGACTACATTAGGGGTTTGGTCAGTATATCTATGCCAGCTAGATTGTGTAATTTTACAAGCCAGTGTAGTCATGCTGGCAAAGCCTTGCGGCAGACATGGCTAAAGAAAGAAGATGTTGCTTTCTCTAGAATGCAGGTGGAAAAGCATTTCAGGCTGAGACTCACAGGGCTTGTCTACCCAAACAGATTTATTTCACACTAAAAGACACCAAAGTGTAATATCACTTTGCTTTGGGGCAACTGCACCTAAATGAACAGCCACCTGTCACCTCACCATGAATCACTGTTTCCACCCAGATGACTGGCTCCCTCAAGTACATCAAGATGTTTCTTTGTGCAATCAAATGCACAAGGAAGAATCTGGCCTTGGGTGGTCATGACTGTGAAGTTACAGAGGCAACACAAATAGAGTGAGCAGCTAGTTCAAGGAGTGAACAAAAGGGAGCAGGAAGGTGGTTGGCAGATCACTAAAATATATTCAGTTAGGACACATGTACACAAAGATCAGCCTAAAGTTGCTTATTGCACGAAAAAAAGACTCCAAGATTAAACAAGAACAAAACATTCAGATTTATACTGATGTAAAACGCTGTATCACGTGAACAGAGCTTTTATCTTTGGAAAAGCAGGGTTTATGCCGGGATAACATATTCACGTAGATGAGCCCATAGTTCAAGGACAGAGGGAACCAGCATAATAAATCTAATCCAATTTCTTGCTTAATCCAGCCTATCAAATTTCATTCAGTAATTCCATACTGGCAACTGTTGTAATTTGATTTCAAAGTTTAGCAATGTTTCAGTTTTTTCTTAACACATCTATTTGCAGCACCATGTCAATATACCAAAGTCTCAGCTTTAGTTGTTTTTTTTAATTAGGTTTCTAACTTCATTTGTTGTAAAAAAATTTGAAAACATGAGACTAAAGACTCAAATACTAGAAAGCAAAAACAAAGAATCCCAAATCCATGTCAGTAAGTCTGATCTGTATTTGCTCAGGCAGAAATATATATTAATATTCATCCTGGGGCAAACAAATATAAAGGCTATACATGCTCTCATGAGAAATTAAAATCATAAGTAAAAACTGCAACCTTAGCTGGATATTAATATATTTTATTATGGGAGATCACTATATTAAAATGTAATATAAGTTCAGACTTGAATACGAATAAATAGGATATACATGAAAACATGTAGGTAGCAGCCCTTATATTCATGACTTTGTGAATATCTATAGTGTTCAGATTTGACATATAGCCATCATATTGCTATTCACTGGATGAGGTCCCAGTTTCATTGAAGTTGATGACAAAACTCTTGTTGACTTTAATAGGGTCAGCATTTCACCTAGCGTTCAGAATAGCAAAGGAAGCTTTAAGAAACATGGTCAACTTTATTTCATTGAGGTCTGGGAGAAATGGGGAGGAGCAGTTGGTTTCCTGCTGGGTCTATGCCTGGATCTGATAGCAATGTCATACCTTTTGTACTAGTCTGTATCAGTGGTTCTCAACATTTTTAGAATTAAGAAACCCCTCAGAAAATGCTAGCTCATAGGTTCTACTCCTTTTTTCACAACAGAAAAAGAATAGAATTCTTCTTCGGTAAAGACTCAGAAAGACCACAACAGCTCAGACTGTATTAATACAATGAATTCCTATTTCAAATCTCTGGGTTTATCTTGGGAATCATATTTGTACACCTAACATTGCATGGCACTGTGACACTCACGAAAAGATCTCATGGCACCCCAAGGTACTGCAGCACCCTGACTGAGAATCGCGGGTCTATATACATGCAGGATTGCATAAGATCCCAAGGAATCAACTGCTGCACCATCTCCTAAGATGACATTTAAGATCAATAAGACAAATTTTGCGTGCACAAGGCAAAAGTACTTCTTCTATGCTTTTTTCCCTAAATGGCACTACCACATCTCAGGAAATATGCTAAAGACATTTCCACTTTCATGAAGATACAGCAGAGCTAGAAAAATGAGAGACTGAAAGATTTTTATGCTGGTTCCAAAATCTTTGGTTATTTTGCCAATTGTAATGTTTTGATTTGCATGATTTGTATGAGGCACTTGCTGGTTTGAATGCTGCAGGTCCCCAAACTGGTTCCTTTGGAGGCACTCCCATAAGGTTAATATTTAGTAACAATAATTATCATTCTTGTATTAAACACTGGTCTCACAAATTGAATGCAAGGTACCCCCGACTGCACAGTTCTGGGAAGGGTTCCTCCCATTTCTTAAGTACTACTTTAGGTCTATGATGAATACTTTCCCCATAGCTTCTATGGGTGCATACACACAAGAGCTTTGTGGTGCCTCAAATGCTTTTGAGGCATTGCAAAACATACCCAAGACATGTGATTTGGTTCTCCACGCTGCACATTTGCAGCGCAAAGCCAAATTTAGATACTAGGACATCCCAGCATCAAAAAAAATGCATAGAGAAAAAAAAAGCAGGGCGGCGCACATGGCAGCATTGTGTCACCATACACCGGAGCCTGGCCAGCTAGAGCCACACTCCAGCTGCCAACCAGGCTCCATGCACCTGGATTGCTGCCGCTGCAGGCCCAGGAGGCCCCCAGAATCCCAGGTAAGGCTGCTGGGGCCAACCCAGCTGCTGGCTTCAGTCTCCCCTACCCCACCCAGGGCAAATGCAAAATCAAGCCTACGCATCTTTCTAAAAACTATCCTATAGCTCAAACAGAAGTTCTGAGATCGATGCAGAAGTTATTGGGTGAGGTTTTATGGTCTGTGATTTAAAGGTCATTGTAAATCAGGACTGTACAACTTACTTGGTCCTGCAGGTCAGAACCAGATGGCAGAGCTTCTCACACACCAGATGACTCACCTCTGGTGGTAGGGCAGCAGTGTGTGAGTACAGCTGCCAGAGCCACTGCATTGGTGCAGCTCCAGAACCCAGGTGGATGAACACAGCCACCGCCTGTCTCCACCTTTCCCCCTGTTGCAGATCTAAAGTAATGAAAGACCCCCAAATCAGCAGCAGGCAAGGGGATTGGAGGACAAGTGGCAGTGGTGTTCACCCCCTGGGTTCAGCAGCAGTAGCACTGGCAGCCGTGCCAAGACGTCCTGTGGAGTGCAATATAACCTCTCATGGGCTGCATACAGCCCATGGGCCACCCCACTGACAGCCCTATTTGCAATTATCATAATGGTGCTTTCTGCCCTTAGAATTAATGCAGCTAAATAGAAAAGAATCATCACACCCTTTCATAGAATCATAGAGAAGTCTGGCTGGAAGGGACCCCTGGAGGTCTAGCCCAAGCCCTGCTCAAGGCAGGGTCATCCCTGTCCCAATTATCCCATGCAAGTCCTTGTTTAACCTATTCCTAAAACTATGCAATCAGCCTTGTTGCACAGCTACAAGACATATTGCCCAGACATCAAAAGCTGCCCAATCTGCCACAGGTAAAGCAAGGGGACAGGGGCAGCCAGTGTGCCGCCATTACAGGGTTGCTAAAATGCACTCGAGTGATCCCAGAGCACCAGGCCTACTGCTAGGGGAATTCAAACCCCCCACAGTCCGGACCAGTCTGACCATGGGGTAAAATTCTTTCCTGATTCCAAATGTGGCAAGTGGTCTGATCCTGAGCAGAGGGGCAAGACCCTCTAACCAGGAGACTCTGGGTTTCAGCCCCAGCTGGTGCACTGGCACATCCCAGGCAAAATCTGACACCTGTAGCAACAGGAGGGTAGAAAATTCCTTCCTGACTCCGTGTGGCAACTAGCAATGCCCAGAAGCTTGGAAAAAAAAAACACCCGACATTCTTCCCTACAACCAGGGGACAGTGAGCTTAACTTCACACATACACCATCTTATTGGACAGCCAAAACTTCCCTTCCTGCATCCCCACCACAACTTATCCAAGCTCCTTTCATTTTTTTTCATAACTAAGCTAGTTGCAGAGATCTGCTTCGTTCTCCTGCTGCCGAGCACAGTCCTTCCCAATACCCACCTGCATTAGGCTGCAGAGCTCCTCTTGTTTCTCAACTGCTTCCAATTTCTCAAGCATAGGAAGTGGTGTAACTGCCTCCCTATATTGTGTCCAGCAAGAAATGCCCCTCACATCCTTTGATTCAAGATGTATGTAGGTAAGCTCCTTTCACTCTCCCTTATGCGGGCCACTGTTCTGTCTTGTCTTTGTAAATTGTTCTGAACTAATTAAGAGCTTTTCTATGCTACAGATGTATGTAGGTGGACACCTGTGTGTAGGTAGGTCTTACGCTGTGTGATGTAAAGTTATGGTATTGCATAAACGATTATTAACAACACTATTTTGTCAAGATGGCCTATTGCAGTGGTGCTCAACATTTTCCCCCCCCGTGGACCAGATGGACAGTACCTGGTCCACCTACGGGTCAGATCCCACTGGGGATCCTGATCTGGCACCAGAGTGGGTGCAGCAGGCACCAGATGGGGGCAGGGGACAGCCTGGTCCCACCCAGCTCCACAGAGGAAGGGGGCATGGCCCAGACCCAACACGAACCTACAAGGGGACACGGCTCAGCCCCCACCAGCTGCACTGGGTTTGGGAATTTGGCAAGGGGGGAGCATGGCTACCGCTCTCCTGCTGTCAAATTTCGCAACCCCCCGTGGGCCAGACAGGAGGGCTCCACGGGCTGCACTCAACCCGCGCAGACCAGAGGATGAGCACAGCTACCCCTTGCTTAACGTCGGCATTACCTTCTTGAAAAATTTGACTTTACAGGAAACAACATTAAGCAAATCCAATTACGTCACAATACAGTAGTTACCTGCTAGCAGGCGGAGGCCAAACAACACCATAACTGAACACTGCATGACTTTAAACAAGTACGTTCCCCAACAGATCAGCGACGTAATAACGATACATCATTAACCGGGACGAGGTCCAGCGAGAAGTACCTGTATTACCTCTGACAGTAACGACCAGTGTAAATTACCTGCCTTACTATTTTCCAGTGTTTGATTGCTGACTGGCCTAGCCAAGCATAAAGAAAGCCCAGCTATTTCTATTTCTTCCATTTCTACCCAGGAGAACTTTTACAATCTTTTCTCCAATGCCTGATGAAGGGGGCTTGTGCCCAAAAAGCTTGCAATTAAAGACAGGTTTTTTTGCAAAAATCTTGCAGGTCGAATAAAAGCAATCATCTCTATTAAGGCTCCCGATTGCTGTAATCCATAAATTAGTTTTTGAATCTGCCACTTTTGCACCCAAAAGTTTGCAGTTAAAGGCAAATTTATTTTTTTTGTTGCAAAAATCTTGGGGGTCGAATAAAGTGATCGCCTCTACTACGCGTCCTGACTGATCACCTTTTCCTCTAGAACGGTACGGCTACAAACCTGGAAACCTGACAGCGATTTCTAATGGATTTAAGTATCTGTCAGATTTTAAGGTGAAGTGTCTCCCCCCTCCCCCTTTCCTTATGGAGACTGCATTAGCCCTAAGTGACGATTACACTGGATGTGGTCTTGTTCTCAAAGTTAAATGTAATTAAACTTAAATTAATTGTAAAATTAAATGTAAAAAACCCCATCCCCCCTACCTCGGCCTCGCGAGCTCCCCAGCACAACCCGCCCCCGCGCATGCGTACACGCCTCGCCTGCCCTACGCCCCTGCAGCCGCGGTCCGCCCCACCCCCTCCCCGCCCTCCTTTACGGCAGTCGCAAAAAGGCCGTAAAAGGCGCCGTCCGCGGGAGGAGCCTGAGGTAAACGCCGGGTTGCGGAGCGGGGCTGCGACCCCCTGTGGCCTCGAGCCAGTGCCGGGGGGCGGGGGGGAGCTGTGTCTGGCCGGGGGTTGCCACTGCGCCAGCCGGGGTGGGGGTGGTGCCGCGGGGCCTACCCCATCCCACCCCCACACGGGAGGATGCCTCCGCGGGAGTTACTGCCCTCGGCTTCCCCGGGCCCTGCCTCAGCCCCCACTCGCAGCTTTAGGCACCTGAGTATTTTTCCAGCACTTCCTCTAACCCCCCGGGTCAAATTGTCTCGGGCCGTGATCG